TGCATATAGATCTATTGTGAATCCCCGTGGCGGATCCCGGCAATTGGCGAGTAGTTGATTTGCGAGTAGTGGCCCGGGCCTGTCCAGTCCGTCATGCATACAGCAGACTCAGTGGTCACACGGACGGCCATCAACAGCATATGCAGTTCACCTCGCGTCACGGACTGAGGGTCGCCTGGCAGCGGTCCCGTGATGGACAGGCTTGATGCTCAAGTCCCGCTCTGTTGAGACATGCACTAGCCCACAGCCCATGCGACGCATCCTCTTCTCACGTGAGTCCCCCCCCCCCTCCCCTCCCACTGGCACCACCGACTACCTGGGCCCAGAGATCCCTCAAGAGCCCCAAGCTCGCTCGCCTGCAAGCGGTCCCAGACGCTTCAGCGCTCGTCCTGGCGGGGGGCAGGGATAGCCGTCCAAGCCTTGGGACTCAGTCGCCAGAGCCAGTAAGCGGAGTCGGCCTCGGACTCGGGAGGAGATAAAAGGACAGGAGGAGGAGGAGGAAAAGGAGGAGGAGGAGGGTGAGGGTGAGGATGAGGATGAGGAAGAGGAGGATGATGAGGAGGAAGACGAGGAGGAGGAGGAGGAGGAGGACTAGCATGAAGTTGGAGCAACGTCCACAAAGGAGGAGGAAGAGGAGGAGGAGGAGGAGGAGGAGGAGGAGGAGGAGGAGGAGGAGGAGGAGGAGGAGGAAGGGGGAGGCAGGGGCGGGGGAACCAGACATCGCCGCACCCTAAGGTCCTAGCATCCCGATGTCTTCGAGCTGGGCGGTTTCACATAGTTTCGGGCCCTGGGACCCTTTCAGATCGAGCTGGCTCGAACATGGCGCAGACAGATTGGGTCTGGGGCTTCGGTCGTGATTTTCCACTGAGCTGTACTTTTTGTCGCGTTGTCGGATCACATGACAAATGGAGCATCGTAGGGCACCAGCCATAGGGCACCAGCCATGAGGCAACAGCCACAGGGCTCTAGCCATATGCGGGCAACCAAGCAGTGGAACCAGAAGTCGCGACCACTGGGGCGCCTTGGGGCACCAGCCGTTGTGCTCTGGCCGCATGGGACCAGGACGGTACCGATACATCATGACTACTGGGGCATCATGGGGCACCATCCATGGGGCACCACCCATACGGGACCCCAAGGCATTTGGGGCATCATTGGGCACCAGCCATCGGGCACCATTCATAGTGGACCCCAGGCCAGGAGCCAGGCATCGCTCAAACCAGGGCATCATAGGGCAGCAGCCATAGGGCACCACCCACGGGTCAGCAAACGCCACCAGGAATCGCGACGATTGGAGCAATACAGTGTGTCTGCCATATGGCACCGCCCAGAGGGGACGATAGCGAGGATTAGGGATCGCGATACTTGGGGCATCACGGGGCACTAGCCGTAGGACACAAGCTTTCGGGCACCAAGGCAGGATCCAGAAATCGCCACAGCAGGGGGCATCATTGGGCGCCAGACACAGGGCCCCGTCCATAGGGCACCAGGGCGGCCGCTCGAAATCACGACAATTGACGCATCATAAGGGCTCCAGTTATGGGCCACTGCCAATAGGACACCAAGGCGGCCACCAAAAATCACAGCAGCTTGCGCAAGCAGCTTGCGCAAGCAAGGCAAACTCTTAGTGGAAGCACTGATCATAGAGCTCCAGCCATAGTGTACCACACATGAGGCACCAGGGCGGGAACCAGAAACCGCTCGCAGCCAGCGACCCATCATCAACCATCACAAGGAAATCGCCCATCGGGCACCAGGGCGGGAACTAGAACTCGCATCCGGCGGCCCTCCAGACAGCACCCGCAGAACACTGGGGCCAGAACGCGAACCCGCACACCATACGGCCCATCATAGAGCATCAGCCTTAGAGCACTGTCCATGGGACACCGAGGCGGCCACCAGAACTCCCGACAACTGGGGCATCATATGGCAGCAGTCGTGGGGCCCAGCCTTCAGAGCACAGCTCCCAGTCATACAGCACGACCCGTGGAGCACCACATGAAGAACGCGACGCCGCAGCCAACAGCGCATCATATTGCATCAGCCATACAGCACCACCCATGGCGCGGCAGGGTAAGAACGCGAAATCGCAGGCAGCAGCTCATCATACAGCACCAGCAACAGAGCACCTTCCATACAGCACCAGGGCCAGAACGCGAAATCGCAACCACCAGCCCACCATAAAGCTGCATGCATTACGCACCGCCCACAGCACCATGGCAATGACACGAGATTGCAGCAACTCTTTCCAATTCCGTTCCGAGCAACTAAGAACCTCTCAGTGATTTTTGCTGAATAAATGGAAGAGGGGGAGGAGTAGGAGGAGGATGGAAGATGAGGACAGGAGCATGGTGATGCTGATGATGACGATGATGGTGATGATGATGCTGATGTTGCTGATGATGATTCTGCTGCTGATGGTGATGGTGCTGCTGCTGATGATGATGAGGAGGAGGATAATACCAGGATCATGATGATGCACATGATGATGCACACGATGATGATTTATGCTGATGGTGATGATGATGCTGATATTGATTACGACGATGCTGCTGCTGCTGATGATGATGGTAGTTATGGTGATGCTGATGATGACACTGATGATGCTGCTGCTACTGATGCTGATGCTGCTGCTGCTGATGACGATGCAGCGGATTCGGATGATGACAATGATGCTGATGATGATCATGCTGATGCTGCTGGTATGGTGATGCTGCGGATGAAGACGATGATGATGTTGCTGCTGATGTTGCTGATGATGATGATGCGGATGCTGCTGCTGATGATGCAGATGATGATGATGATGATGATGATGATGATGATGATGATGATGATGATGATGATGATGATGATGATGATGATGATGATTGTGTTGACGATGCTGATGACGATGCTGATGACGATGCTAATGATGGCGACTATGCTGGCGATGCTGATGATGCTGCTGGTGATACTGATGATGTTGTTGATGATGATGATGATGATGACGATGATGATGATGATTCTGATGCTGATGATGATGATGCGTGTGAGGCTGCTGCTGGTGATGATGACGACGATGATGATGATGCTTATGATGATGATGATGATGCTGCTGATGCTGATGATGATGATGATGATGATGATGATGCTGATGATCACGATCATGGTCATGATGATGATGATGATGCTGCTGATTAGGCGGCTGCTGATGATGCGGCTGCTGATGATGCTGATGACGATGATGCGAATGCGGATGCGGATGGTGAGGATGCTGATTTTGATGATGATGATGATGCTGATGACGATGCTGCTGATGATGATGATGATGATGATGATGATGATGATGATGCTGAATGTGATGATGCTGCTGCTGATGTTGACGATGCTGGAATGATGCTGTTGGTGACGATGATGATGAGGATTCTGCTGCGGCTGAGGATGCTGATGCTGATGATGCTGGTGGTGATGATGACGATGCATATGCTGATGATGTTGCTGCCGATGATGATGCTGATGCTGCTGATGCTGCTGCTGATGATGACGATGCTGTCGATGATGATGCTGATGATGATGATGCTGATGATGATGCTGATGAGGTCGACGGTGATGCTGCTGATTCTGATGCTGATCATGATGATGCCGATGATGCTGATGGGGATGCTGATGCTGATGCTGATGCTGATGATGCTGCTGATGATGCTGATGCTGCTGATGATGATTACGATGATGCTGATGCTGAGGCTGATGCTAATAAAGATGATGATGCTGCTGATGATGATGATGATGATGAAGAGGAGGAGGCGAAGGAGGAGGAGCAGTGTAAACCCAGGAGTAATCAACGGTGTCGGAATACACCCTCCCCCAAACTCCCTCTCCATAGGCCCCTACAAGGCTTTATTGCCACCGAGGGAACTACCTCGTCGGAAGAGAACAGTTTGAAGACTCTGAAGCATGTCAAGACATTGTTCTCGGGACCCCAACGCCATAGATCAACCGGACTTTTGCGTCTTGACGATTATGAATCGTGCCAGAACGCCATTCCTGGGTCTTCATTCAACACCGCGAATCAACGCAACTGTTGCATCCTCATAATCCGGAGCCCTTCCAAAACACCATTTCTGGTACGTCGATCATGGGAACCAGTGGAACTCCTGCACATGTTCTGAAATAATGTGCGCGGCGCTGAGGCGAGAGCAACATATTGAAGAAGAAACCGCCCCCAATCCGTGAAACCCTTGCAATTTTTCAAAACGAATGTGCGCGGCGCTAAGGCGAGTGCCACATTTTGAAAGCCATCCGCCCTCAATCCGTGGAACTCTTACCAATATTTGAAGCGACTGTGCGCGGCGCAACGGCGAGAGCCACATTTCGAAAACCATCCGCCTTCAATCCGTGAAACGCTTGCACATGTTTGAAACGAATGTGCGCGGCGCTCAGGCGAGAGCCATATTTTGAAAAGGAACCACCCTCCATCCTTGAGAGACTTTTGCGAATGTTTGACACGAATGTGAGCGGTGCTAAGACGCGAGCTACATTTGGAAAATGAAACACCCTCCATCCTTGGAGTTGGTGCGAACTTCCAGAACGATTGTGCGCGGCGCTCAGGCGAGAGCCACAGTTTGAAAGCGGCCCCCTTTCCATTCGCGAAATTGCTGCACACTTGTAAGACGTGCGTGCGCGGCGCTAAGGACAGATCCACATGTTGAAAACGGCCCGCCCTCCATCCGTGAAACTGTTGCAGGTTGCAAGCTTCAGGATCATACATGACGAGGAAGTCTTAGGCGAAACGCCCAGCCCGCCCTACCGACACGTCTGGGGGTGCGATAGGGAGAAGTTGTTTATCAGGAAAGGGGATGGACGACGAGGAGGCGGAGGATGAGGCGGAGGAGGAGGAGGAGCAGGAGGAGGAGGACGACGAGAAAAGGAAGGATAAACCCTTTGCCTCCGCCCTTTTTCTCCTGCAGTAGGCGGGGGAGATGGGGGGTAACACTTGACTGCATACGGCTCTCAGCCCTCAGGATGAAATGTGCATTGGGGACCTTGATGCCATTGCAGACGGAAACCCATGGTGGAATGTTTGCTTGTATTACGATGCGTGCGCTGCGAATTACCCGCTGGGCGACCCCATGTGGGGGATATTCACGTGCGTGGACCCCGCGGATGCCACAGAATGCGATCAGGTCGACTTGCCGACCACAGCCGCGCCTACATGCTGGGGCAGCTGGGACTGCCCTACCGCCTACGTCCTGTCGTGGTGCTCGACGGACGTCTAACCTCACCGATTCTGGCCAGGCCAGGCCCGTCCTTGGCCCAGGATCGGTGTACTTGTCGTCCTGGCCAGGCCAAGAGGTCGTGTACACTTAGGTGTATTACGCGTCATTGTAAGCATGAGTTGCTGTCTTTCCCGGCTGTTAACTTTCATTGTTGCTCTTAGTGATCGTTGATCAGCGCTAATAGGGGCACGTAGTAGGCGCCAACATGCGCTAATAGGTGCTGATAGGCGCTACTAGGGACATTGGTAGAGACTAGTGAGCGCTAATAGGGGGAACCTTCTTTAACACTGCTCTCAGGCATAATTCACATATGTGCACCGATCCCGGGCCCAGGATTTCTCCGAGGTACGTGGTCATGTGCCTCATAGGAGCAGCGGTCGGACGCCTGTCGGTGACCAAGGCGCGCGCCTTTTTCCAAGACATCCCGGTCGCGGGCGGCCAACAACTTCCCCCGACCAACCGCAGGCGAGCAAGATTGATGACACTGCGGCAGATGTGCTGGGGGTGGGCAGGGAGTGGGTCAGGGGCGGCTTACCCGACCCCTGGCAAACCATCCACTCCCGTGACGTCCCCCTCGCCTCACCCCAAGACTTCTGTATGCGGCCGGGGGGAGGCCTGGAGAGCAAGGGGGACGTCACGGGAGGTGCTCGTCACGGCAGGGGTCGGTTAGGTCGCGCCCGAGTTGGGTTGGAGATGGGGGATGGCCGCGATGGGAGATTGGCGTTAGTGGTCGGGGTAAGGAGGAGGAGGAGGAGGAGGAGGAGGAGGAGGAGGAGGACCAGTGTGAGCCCAGACGCATCAACGATGTTGCAATCCACCCTCCCTCTATTTTCCTTCGTCATTGGCCCCTGAAACAAATATTTGCACTGTGGGAAATGGCCCATTCGAATACAACTGTTTGAGAACCCTATATCGTGCCAAGACACAGTTCCTGAGAGTCCAGCGCAACGGATCAACGTGACTGCTGCGTCCTGACAGTCCTACATCGTGCCAGAGAGTCATTCCTGGATCTTCAACGCACCGAATCACTGTGACTGTTAGGTCGGACAATCCTGAATCGCGCCAGACCGCTCGTTCTGGAAAATCCACAATACGAACCCTTGAACCCGCTGCAAACTCTTGAAACGAATGTGCGCGGCGCCAAGCTGATATCCACGTTTTGAAAAGGAGCCGCCCTCCATCTTTGAGGCCTTTGCGAACTTTTGACACGAATGTAAGCGGTGCTAAGGCGCGAGCGACATTTGGAAAATGAGCCACCCTCCATCCTTGGAGCCAGAATGATTGTGCGCGGCACCTTTCCATTCGCGAATTGCTGCACACTTGTAAGACGTGCGTGCGCGGCGCTACGGACAGATCCACATGTTGGAAACGGCCCGCCCTCCATCCGTGAAAACTGTTGCAGGTTGCAAGCTTCAGGATCATACATGACGAGGAAATCTCAGGCGAAACGCCCAGTCTGCCCTACCGACACGTCTGGGGGTGCGATAGGGAGAAGTTGTTTATCAGGAAAGGGGATGGACGACGAGGACGCGGAGGATGAGGCGGGGGAGGAGGAGGAGCAGGAGGAACAGGAAGAGGAGAAGCAGGAGGAGGAGGAGGTCGGTCCCCAGACATGCGATGTCTGGGTGCCCAGAGCTCTGGACCGTCTTCGCAGCGCCAGTCTTTCATTCCGAGTAATCGTTTAACGGTCCCGTGGACCAGCGAGGGCCCTCGGAGGCCGAAAACTGCCAGACACATGACTTTTTCACGACGCGAGCATGTCTGGATCGGTCGGTTGAACTCCGCCAGGGGGGGTGCCCTTGTATTACTTCCCCCTTGCGCTCCTGTCCTGCTGCAGAGGTCGGCCCGCAGATGTGGAGCCCCGCGAACGTGGCGGGCGTTCTCCTGGTGCTGCTGGCTCCCGTCCTGTACGCCAGCGTCTTGGCAGGGGACGCAACCATGCGAAGAAGATGAAACTACACAAACATAAGCTTTCGAAGCTCTGCGCGGATTTCGTGGATCGGCGCTGGGCACTCCTGGCGCGCTCCGCGCCAGCGCCGATCCACTAAATCTGCGCGGAGCTTCGAACGTTTATGTGAATGTAGTTTTTCCTTTCTCCAACCAGCACCAGAATGCCTTTTCTCACAGGGCTTGCTGCTGGCCTTGCGTTGCCCCTTCCTTTGTCCTTCGCGCTGTTCAAGAACGGAGCCCAGAGCATTGTAAACATGAGCACGGAGCGTTCGTGGCGGATCCACGCGGCTTTCGGTTTTGCGTCCCTTCTGTTCAGCACGGCTCATGGTGCGATCGTTCTCATCGAGGTGGCGAAGCCGTTCTCCAAGATTTGGTGGATGTTTGGAGCATGGGGATTGATATTGATGTGGCTGGGAGTTCTGGCAGCTCCGCTATATGAGCTCTTTCCCAGCGTCTTTGTGTACGACAGGTTCAAGTTGCTACACTTTGCCAGCATGTGGGGGGTAATCTTTGCAGTGCTCCACATACTCGAGCACGCCGTCACATTCGGCACTGTACGATCGTGGCTCGTCGCAATCGTAAACCTGCTGGTGCTCGCGGCGTACGTGCTGCAGAAGGCCCACGTGCACTGGACCTCTCGCGGCCAGGCCGTGGTGGCCGCCGAGGTCCTCGGCCCCTCGGGCGGCATGCGCTACATCTCAATACGCATGAATGCCCCGAAGTTTGTGCAGGCCTTTAAGCCTGGGCAGTGGGGGCACCTCACGCTCAACGGGGTCACCAAGCTCGAAGAAGACTCATCGGCATAAGCTCGGCGCCACTCCAACATACTGATACTGCGTGTGCGTCGCCCCCACGGGGGCGACACGCGCGCCGAGAAATCGTAGTATGAGCTCCGCGGTGGGCGCTTTCTAGCCGTGCCGCCCAGAGTATTGTATACTACAAGATGGTTGTACTACAGGTTCGGGTCGTACGGGAGCCTCCGAGGAGGACACATAGGACTAGCATGGCCTTGTGCGTCCCAAAAGCAGGAGCTTCCCGAGGTCCGCGCGGATCTGTCGGATCGGCGCTGGACACCCCCCACGCGGCGGCGCCGCCCGCGGCGCGCTCCGCGCGCTGGGGGAGGGGGCTCCGACGCCGAGCCTAGAGGTGCACGCGGCGGATCTCCGAAAGTTTGTGTCAGATGCTCCTGGGCCAGCTATGGTACCTGTCCGAGTGCGAAGACCTTACGGCCGGTGCCGCTGACCCTGGAGGCCTCGGCCCTCGACGGAAATGGGAGGGAGAGGGCGGGCCGCGAGGGTGGTATTCTGATCCGGGACCACCCCCCCCCGGGACCACCGGGCCCCCCCCGGGATCCTCCCCCTCCGCGGGGAAGGGAACAAAGGGAAGGGGCTTCCGTTCGACTCAATGACAGCGTTGCTTCATTTCGCTGTGGATGGGCTGGTGTATTTCGTTTTGGCTGGCTTGCTTGAGGACGAGGGCCCAAGGAAAGGGGGAGAGCGGCGACTGACTCAGGGGAAGGAGGGGACGTGATGGCGGCGGCGACGCGACGGCGGCAGCGACGGCGATGGCGACGGAACAGCCCCAACCACACGCCGACAGGGTCAGTGGATGTGTCAAGTTTGTCTCAGGTTCGGCTCTAGTTCGACTCAAGTTCGAATCAGAGTCGACCCAAGTCGGTGGACGTCCGACGCAGCATCGACGCACGAGTGGAGCGCGTGGCTGAAGGCCCCCAGAGTGAGCATCCAATTCGTGCTTGTGCCGTTTTGTTCCTCTTCTGCCAGCACCCCTTCACCTGCACCGTCTCGCAGGAGCTCCAGGGCAACGTCAGGGGGTTGCAGGCTTAGGGGGGGCGGCATCGATCCCCTTTTCACTTCCTCCTCCTCCTCGTCCTCCTCCTCCTCCTGCTCCTCCCTCCTTCTCCTTCTCCTCCTCCTCCTCCTCCTCCTCCTCACTCCTCACTCCTCACTCTTTAACCGAGTGCGGGCGAGAACAAAACATACCCCCATTTAAGGCTCTCTATTTTTTATCCCCGTTCCATAGGATTTAATTGTGGAGAGGGGCGTGGAGGCCGAACTTGATAATCCACGGGGGAAGTTGCGAATCGAAGTTGCTATCATCTCATGTTGACTAGTAACAGCATCAAAAGCGCTGAGCATGGCCATGGTGGTCTGACCATATCAGCTTCCGCAATAACGAGCCCTGTCCGCGCGTTGGCGCAACTCATGATCATCGTCATCATCATGATCATCGTCATCATCATCATGATGATCATCATCATCATACTCAATCATCAGCATCATCACCATCATCATCATCATCATCATCATCATCATCATCATCATATCATCATCATCATCATCATCATCATCATCATCATCATCATCATCATCATCATCACCATCACCATCATCACCATCATCATCACCATCACCATCACCATCACATCATCATCATCATCACCATCACCATCACCATCATCATCATCACATCATCACATCATCATCATCATCATCATCATCATCATCATCATCATCATCATCATCATCATCATCATCATCATCATCATCATCATCATCACTTTACCTTCCCTGGGAAAATCGTTGGCTATCCCTGCCAGACCCCCGAACTTTATGATCCCCCAGGTATTCTTATCGCCCGTGGTCGGTTTTTCTTCACCCCTCACTGTTCACTCTTCACCCCTCACTCCCCACTCTTCACTCCTTACGTCTCACTTCTCGTTCCTCCTCCGTCGCCCCCCGTGCAGAGCACACCTCGCGGAGGCCTGCCGAAAAGCTCCAGAAGTCCCGGCCGCTTCCCCAGGGGGCAGTTCTTCGCCGCCCTGGATCCGTTTGTAGTGGTCCTGGGGTCCGGTAACGGGCCTCAGTGGCCGAAATCGATGAAAAAAACACCCAGGTCGACAAGCATTAGATCGTCTGAGACCTGCCGCTGCCCCCCAGGAGCCCACGGAGGTGGCCGTCCTGGTCAAGGTCTCCGGCTCCTGGACGGCGAGGTTCGGTAGCAAATCATGGGAGCCTCTATACCCTCGCAATTCCGTCCTTGGAGTGCACGTCTGGTAATCGATGAGGCAACGCCGATTCGGCGTCGATCGGTGTCGATTGGCGTCGACTGGCGTCGACTAGCGTCGACTGGCGTCGATCCTCAAGAGCCAACAAGATGGCATGAGAGGCTCCCACGGGTTGCGGCAGATGCGAGGCTGGCGGCGGCCTGCGCTGGGGAGTCCAAGCCCAACGTCTGGCTCGAGGGCCCCTACGGCGCCCGGCTGCGCGCAAGAGTGGCCCTTCGCCCGATTGGCCTTTTGGTTCTGGGGCTCCGAATTGGGTCTGAGCAGGTGGGGTCGGAGGATCGCGCCGCATCTGCGATGCGGTGGTGATGCGGCGCGATCCTCCGACCCAATCTACTCGGACCCCATCTAGGAGGCCTGCCTCTGACGGTGCGGGCCCGCAGCGGGCCCCACGAGCCCCAGGCCACGCTCGCGTTGTACACGAAAAGCCCGACGGGAGGTTTTTGGCTGGTTTCGGGTTCCCGGGGCCCTCGCTGGGCCCCCGGGACGTCAAACGACGGCTCGGGATGAACAACTTACCCTGGGGAAAGGGTCGGGGCTTCCAGACGTGCGATGTCTTGATTTTTTCAATGCGCGGTCCCCAGAAGTCCCGACCCTTCTTCTGGGCCCGTTTTTCATCCCGGGTCGTCGTTGGTCCCGAGGCCTGGCGAGGCCCCTGGTGGCGGCAGACGGCCAACAACTTCCCGTCGTGATTTTTACCGACGCCAACATGTCTGGGGAGACCGCTTGTTGAAAGCATTACCCTGGCGAAGGACCCAATCAATTTTACATTCGTAGAAGCTATCAACAGGACCGCTCGATGCACAAAGACTTTACCGGAGAACGTCGGAGAAGGAGGGGGAGGAGGAGGAGTAAAGCTGATACTAATACCAATAAGAAGAACACTGCTGATCATACTACTACAATTCATACTAGTACTGCTACGAGCAATGGGAATAATAATATTACGAATAGTATTAATGCGAATCAGCATCACAATAACACAAATACTGATAATGCAAATAATCATTGGACGACTAAGTCGAACAAGATATTACAAGTATAATGATAAGCGACTAAGTATTCATAATAATAACACCAATACGAACACCAGTCTCACAAGTATATTACAAGTATAATAATAACACCAATATTGGTAAGGCGACTCAGTGTTCATACTAAAAAGAACAATCATAATGATATTACGAAAACGAATGAGAAGCTGAACGAGTCATACTAATAATGCTAGTAAGAAGAAAATGCATAATAAGGCAATTCGTAACACTAAGCACACTAATAATACGACGTCGACTCATATCAATGATAAGACGAAGAGACCTAATAATACGATTACTAATCATACAACTAATAATATTATCATCAATCATAAGAGGAATGTGCTAAGACGAAAAACAATAAGACGGAGGCGAACCATGATAATAATAATTGTACTACAGAAAACCCAATCAGTGGATGATTTGAAACGGGATCGATCAAGAGATCGATAAGGAGATCGACCGGGAACCCAGGAACCCGGGAACCCGGAACCCACCGAGATCGGCCCTGAACCAATAATCGGGAACCCGGGAACCCAGCTGGCTACCAAAATCGGCGGGATTTTTTCGCCAAATTTTTCAATGTCCGCTAGGACCCCTTCAGTGCAAGCACTGATTGGGGAATAATTACAATACGAACAATACAAATAGTAAGAAAGACTCGGCGAATAATAATAATAATAATAAGACTAATAATAATCATAATAATAGTAATAATAATTACTAAGCATGAAAAGAATACTATGAAGAACATGGGAAGGAGGAGGAGCAGGAGACGAGACACGCGGCGCTGCTAATTCAAAACGAGGACCCAACGAACAAGAGGGCTGGGAATCGAGAGAGCGCGCCTTGGTTTGGCCTCCGGCCCCCGTTGGTGGAAGACATCCGCATCGGGGGCCTCGCGGGCTGGGCCCCTGGGCCGCGACCCCGTGGATAGGGGGGCTATTCGCGGATCTCCCGCGCGGAGCGCGTCCATCCGACTGCTCAGCTGTCCACGTCGGCGGCGAGCCCAGGGGGGGAAAGTGAGAGAGGGCCGGCAGGCCTTCTGAGAAGGCGGCGGGGGTTCTCAGAGGCCCTCGCGCATTCTAAGAAGTCCTCTAAGCCTTCCTCGAAGCCGCAGGCGGCTTCTTAGAGGGCACGGGCCATTCTCAGAGGCGCCGCCGCCTGGTGGGAAGGCCTGCCCGCCCCCTCACTTTTCCCCGGGCTCGCCGCCGACCAAGGGATCGTGGCCCGGAATCCAGCGATAGCGCTGATACGGATGCGTTCGCCGCATCCAACGTTGCGAACATATTGCAGCATTGCGAAAACCCATGGCCAGAGCCCCGTACCTCATCTGTCTGCGGTGTTTCTAGAGCTGGATCGGTCTGTGAGGATCCCAGGGCCTGAGACCGAGCGAAGACGCTCGGTGTGAAAACATTTCAGCAAGCCGTGCACCAAAGGTCACTCTTGTCTAAGCTCCGATTGCTGGCTGCTCGAATTCAAGAGACTGGTTCTCTGAAGTCGAGGATCCAGTCCGTTGAAGTCAAGGCAATAAGTTTTCTGCTTGCCGTCAAGGCGCACCGTGCCTGCCCGACCCCCGGCTAGACGCGGCCGTTTTCGTGCTGGGCGGCGTGGGCGTGACGCCAGCGCTGTCGCTTGCGCCGCTGGCCGTGCGCTGTGGCCTGAGGCGGCCGAGGGAGAGAGAGAAAGCGGCACGGGCATAAAACTTCCGGAGGTGCGCGCGGATTCTTCCTGCTGGCCCGGGAGCACAGACCCAGACATAGCCCCCCCCCCCGTCCTGAAAGAACACGGCGCGAGGTTTTTGACCGTTTTCCACCCATGGGGGCCCTCGCCAGGCCTTGGGACCGTTAAAAGACTGCTCGAGATGGAAACCTGGTCCAGGAAAAGGGTCGGGTCTTCCGTGGACCGCGTTTTGAAAAATCAAATCCTCGCATGTCTGGGAATGGTCTGGTCAGCGTTCGGGTCGGCCCAGTCCCTTCGGGTGATGCCTGGGAGGACAGTGCTGACTTGTTGACTCATCATGCCCCTGATGCGGCAGCTCCACGGCTGTGATTGGTCAGGTCAGTGCTTGGGCGGCTCCGGTGGCACTCAGACAACTCCCTTGAAGCCCAGCGCTGGCGTGATTGTTTTTCTGATCCCCACGGACCCCCCTTGGCACGAACTCCGCGCGCCAGTTAGTAGGGCCTAGCGCCGATCCAAGAAGTCCGAGCGGACCTCCGACAGTTTTGTGTGTTGTGCTGTCTTTCGCTCCTCCAGGCAGGTGCACCTGTATTGGTCGCTGCGCGAGGAGCACCTGCTGCTTCACTGCGCTCCCTACCTGGAGGTCGGAGGGCACCAGCTCCATCCCGACAGTCGTGATCACAGGGGCCAGCGGCTCCGCAGGGGGTGCCCCCGCATCCCTGCCCCTCGGCGCTCCCTGGCCCCGGGCCGTGGGCCTCCGACTTCGGCCCCGGCCCCGGCGTCCGAGGGCCCTGCACCCTTTTAACCGCGCAGCCTCGTGGCCCGGCCGCACCGCAGGCGCCCGCACCGCTCCTGGCCTCGTGGCCCACCCGCAGGGTCCCAGGGCTCGGCGCGTGCGAGCTCCCGGCCAGGCCGGGTGGGCGTCGGAGGAGGAGCTGGGCCGACTGCGCCGCCACTCGCGCGGAGGTCTCCCGCGTGAGGTCGCGCCCAGGCCGCGGCGCAGGTCCCTGTGCCATCTTGCGCAGGGCCCGGTTCCCTTCGTCGCTCTGGTGAGCGTGCGCGAGAGGCCTGGTGGGCCTCCTCGGCCCAGGATGGGCCTGGCCAGGATGAGATGCATGGCTGGCGCCCTCCGGAGGAAGGGCGGGCGAGCCCGGGGGCGACGTGCGAGCGGGCGGGCCTTCGCAGAAGGCGGCGGGGCTTCTCAGAGGCCCTGGCGCCCTCCGAGAAGACCCGAGGCCCTCCGAGCCTTCTGAGAAGGCCCGCCCCCTCCGCACTCCCCGCTGGGCTCGCCGCCGAATGGAGGGGCTGGCCCCCGAGCACACCTGCGTCCGCGTGACGCGGCAGCGGAGCGGATCGCCCCCCAGCACGCCCACGTCGGGGCTGGTCGGGGAGGCCGGCATCGCTGGGGCCCCCGACGAGCTGCCGCTGGCCGCCCAGTACGGCCGCGCGGACCTGGGGGCGTGGCTCCAGGCTCGCGATGGGGAACATGGGCAGAGACGCAAAGGAACGCAGATGTCCACGGAAATAGAAGGAAATTCCGACAACATCGAAAGATATGGGGGACCCTGGAATTTGTCTCGATCTGTTTGTGTCTCCCCTGGGCCCCCTTTGCAGGCGGCGTCCGCTGCGCTGTCAGGCGCCGGCTGTAAGAGGACTCGAACAGCAAAAACTGTGCAAACGTAATCTCTCGGAGTTCCACACGGATCTCTTGGATCGGTGCAGGGCCCCCCCTGGTGGAACCTCTGGCGCCCCTCCCTGGCGCGCTCCGCGCGCCAGGGAGGGGGACCCGGCGCCGATCTCCGCGCGGACCTCCGAAAATGTATGTTTCTGCAGTCTTTTTTGCTCTGAGGACGCTGGTGTTCGTCTGCGGCCCGCCCCCGCTTGGAGCCGCCGTGCGGGCCGCGACCGCCGCGCTGCCGGAGGTGGAGTGGTGCATCCACCAGGAGGTGTTCAGCTTCCTGTCGCCGCTCGTGGCCGCGAAGCCTGGACCGCACAGCGGGGTGGAGCCCAGCAAGATCGGGAACACGTCCTGACAGGCCTCTCCCGTCGTGCTGACACCCGCCCGCCCTGACACCCGTCCGCCGTTCCTCTCCTTCCTGCTTCGCCGAACTGCATTCGGATGTTGACAGGCGTGCCAGTGGCCCAAAGTGTTCCCAGCTCCTGGGACGCTGTGGGGCCTCGGGGTCTCTTCTGGGCCGCCTTGGGCACACATTGGGCCAAGACCACCTCCGTCAACGCCCGACGCGTGGATTCGCAGGTCCGCTTGCGGCAGCCCGATGCGAGCGCGAGAGGGCACCAACTCGGTGGACGCGGGCTGTGCGCAACGGTCCTGGCAAGGCCAGCTCTTGGCCAAGAATCGGTGCATGTACACCCCGATTATGGCGCGGATGGTAAGCGCACCGATCCTGGGCTTGGCCATGGCCGGTGACTGGGCGCAGCTGGCGTCCAACCAGCGGGGGGCCCTCTCGACGCCGTCAGTGGTCTGGCTGGCCGACGCCTGCTCTCAGGGAACAAGCAATGCCATGAGCATAAAAACTCAGACCTCCGATTTTTTTATGGTCACGGCATCGTTTGTTCCCCTGTGCTCCGGCGGCCAGACTCGGAGCCGCCAATGTGTGGTCCTCACCGCTGCGTCAGGGCCCTGCCTCGTGGAGAGGCGCCCCAGCGACCACCCTGCGGGGGACCGCGCGGGCGGGCCAGGCGTGCACTGGCGGGAGTGCCCAGCGGCGCGCGCAGAGTGTGTGTGTGTGTGTGTGTTATCGGGGTAGGCTGTGCTTGCACGACCTGCCCCTCTTGCAGAAATCGCAGAAATCGCAGAGTGTGTGAGAGAGAGAGAGAGAGAGAGAGAGAGTTGCATCGCGTGAGTTCCTTGGACGCCGGGTCGGCCCTCTGCAGGCCCAGCTTTCTTCTGCTGCCACCGTCTTGTGAAGGGGCAGATTTCCTGGGCGCGCGCGCGGCTTGCCGCGCGGGCGCTTGACGGTGTGGAGGTGCGCCTGGCCGCGACGACCGAGAAATCAGAGTGTGTGTTTGTGTTTGTGTGTGTGTGGTTGTGTGTGTGCGTGTTTGTGTGTGTGTGGGTGCGTGCACGCATGTGCACGCGCCACCAGGGCGCACCTTCGCTACAGCACCTTGCGGCTCTCACTGGCCAACAGGATCGGCCCCCCGAAGGCCCCTCCAGCCTACTTAAGTGCTTAAGGATAGCAGTGGGGCTCCCATCCAGCGCACAATAGCAAACAGCACCCTGGTTCTGATGCTCTTCCTTATCAGGGAGCCCAGGCCCAACCTGGCGCCCTACGGAAGCCCTGGCCGCATCGGCGACATCCTCGAGGCCACCCTAGGCATCTGCCTCCCCTACAACCATGCGCGCCTGCCTGTGCGAGATAGTCTCGGGAGGGCCCACAATCTGGCAGATGCCGACTTCCGCAGACTCCACGGGCGCCTAGATGCTCTCAGCAAGGCATGTTCCAGGTTAGTCACCGTTGCGCACCGCCACCTGGGCGTCGAAGGGGAGCAGGCCGGTGTGCCTTGGAAGGGCGCTTCCCTCGGACATTTCCTTCCAAAGCCCACTTTCCAAGGCCTCGTGCGGAGAAGGAGGAGGAGGAGGAGGAGGAGGAGGAGGAGGAGGAGGAGGAGGAGGAGGAGGAGGAGGAGGAGGAGGAGGAGGAGGCGGAGGAGGCGGAGGAGGAGGAGGAGGAGGAGGAGGAGGAGGAGGAGGAGGAGGAGGAGGAGGGAGGAGGAGGGAGGAGGAGGAGGAGGAGGAGGAGGAGGAGGAGGAGGAGGAGGAGGAGGAGGAGGAGGAGGAGGAGGAGGAGGAGGAGGAGGAGGAGGAGGAGGAGGAGGAGGAGTAGGAGGTCCGTAGCCATTTTGGCTCAAGTCCGTAGCCATTGGCTCAGGACTTGGCCTTAGTGGCGTGGGGGAGGTACGGCCCCCGCCCGCTTCCCTGGCGCGCGCCAGGTTCCCCTTTTCTTTCCTTTCTACACTCAGATCACAACGTCTCCTGTTGCGCTGCTCCCCTGGCTCCCGTGGCCTGAGCGGGCTCAGGCATGGCTGGAGGGGCTGGTGGCCATCAAGAACGGGTGCGGCAGGATTGGTATTGCAAGGATTGCCTGTATTCCTGGGGCCCGAACAAGGGAAAACGGTTTTGCAACTATGGAAGTCACCTCCACTGCGCGGGATGTAAGCTGCACAAGGGAGTGGTGTTCGGAGGCAACAAAACTACGAATGGAAGTGCGCCGTCGCATTCGGTTCGAGCAAGCAGAGGCTCAAACCCGTCCACTTCATGTTCTCGTCCTGACCCTTGGCTGCAGGATCGCTATCGCCGCCTGGAGCAGCAGGTGGCCGACCTGCAGGCGCGCCTGCGCGCCCGCGATGATGGTGCCATGGATACTGCTGACGATGATGGCAGCGGGGGTCCTCACGGCGTTGGTGAAGTTGCGCTGGAGGACCAGTTGCGTGTCACGGAAGAGAAGCTACAGCGGGTGCCAGAGAGTTTGGTCAAGTTGGTTCCCGAGCTTCAAGCAGTACGACAAGGACTCCTCCAACACAAAGAGCGGCTACAAGAGCAGCGTCGTACACAGAAGCCTATCGGAGCGCAAATCGCGGAGGTCAATCGCAAGATCTACCAGCTGTCTCAGCGGATTACTCGCGCTGACGAGCATGTTCAGCAGCGAAGGCAGGACCTGGAGTCTTTGCAAAAGGAGATTCACGACGAGGAAGAGCAGCTCAAGCAACTTCGTGTACAGATGGTGGAAATGGAGTCTCACATGTTGCCATTGGCAAAGCAAACGGTGGTCCCGATCCCAGATGATGAGGGCCACGGAGGAGCGCAAGTGGTTACCCCTGGAGGTGCTGTATCGGTTGAGCAGCTGGGCAGCATCTTACGGCAGTGCGGGGTACAAGACACACTTCTGGAAAATATTGTGCAAGCGGATGAGCTTAAAAATTTGGTGGCGGGGAGCGTTCACGGAACGCCAGCGGCAGGACCTGACGCGGAAGTTGGCTCCCGATCTGGCGAGGTTCAAGGGTGTGCAACGCCGGAACCACCACCCGAGCTACCTTCCCTGCAAGACGTCCCAGAGGGTGAGCTGCAGCAGCTGTTCGCAGATGTGCTGCCGATCGCAAAAGAGGAGTTGCAGCGCATCGACGCTACTAAGCTACGACAGGCAGCGAACGTATTGCACCGTCGGGTCAACGCGTATTCGCCCAACGATTAGGCACTGGATGGTCGGCTGGATGTTTTGGCGTTGTTTTCTCACGCAAGCCATGGCGAGTTCCACCGATCATCAGAACACACTTCTCATGGAGTCAGGTGGTGATTCCAATGAACAAGGGAGGTTTGTACCCACTTCGTCACTTACGGCCGCGCAATGCGGCAATCAAGAAAATGGGTCATCAAGAAAACATGGGATCGGGTTGGCGCACGCTGCCTTTTCGGTAAGTGATGGCGAACCGCATGCCGCCCCCCGTCCTTGGAAGGCTCCATCAGGAGACCGAGGATCTCGGAGGGGGAACGTCCACTGGGCCTTCCTTGTCGGGGCAAGGTACCACGGGGACGGTCACGACACGCAGTGGGAGTATGGCGGATACTGCCCCCCCATCCCTGGAAGGCTCTCGCAGCAGGGAGATCCCCTGCGGCTTGAGACCGAGGATCTCGGAGGGGGATCGACCACGGTGCCTTCCTTGTCGGGGCAGGGCGCCACGGGTTCGGCGATGACACGCATTGGGAAGTCTGCGGATATTGCCCCCATCCTTGGGAGGCGCTCGCTGCGACCTGCGAAGGTGCAGCAGAGAGCTGAGGGTCTCGGATGGGGGACCGACTGAGGCACCGCCCTTGTCTAGGCACGGTACTACTACGACGTGCGCACCGAGGCGATGGGATACGCGCGATATCGAGCACGCGGTGGAGGTCAAAGGAATTACCACCACGGTCAATGTCACGGGTGCTGGCACGCTGGTTCGCTATCTCGATAAGCAGCCGCCTGGCAATATCATTGCCGTGCAGGAACATCATGCAGTAGGCGACCGACTGCAAGCATTGAGAAAGGAAGCGCTGGACGTTGGGTACCACGGCATCTGGGCGGAAGCGCTGACCACTGAGGATGGCGGCGCGTCGGGGGGAGTCTGCGTGCTTGCCACCTCCGACGTCATGGTTACCGAGGCCCCCTTCGTCGGGCAGCTTAGCATCCCGCCCGCAAGGTTCGTGGCATCGCATATCCACTGGGGTGTTGCGAAGGGCCTAGTAAGCATGAGTATTTATCTACATGACGGCCAAGGCTTGAGCCCAGACAACCGACACCACATCAGTGAAGTTCTTAGGTACGTCGGCATGCGCAATGCGCTTGGGATGGGCTGGATGGCACTGGGATATTGGAATCTGAAGCCAACGGTATGGGAATAACAATGGATTCGACAGGCCAGGTGCCAGCTGCACATGCCAACGGAACCGACTTGCTGGAAGAGTGCGATGGGTACGGTTTATGACTATGCACTGGTCACGGTTAACCTACAGTCACGCTTGCGGCAGCCAGAAGTTGATCACGGCACCAATGTGAAGACCCATGCCCCCGTGCATTTTCCCCTGTTAGCGAGAGATGCGCCCACGTGGAAGCGGGTGTTGCAGGAGCCCCTCGGGTTTGGGGCGGCCCCACCGATCGGCTGCAGCCTTTATCCGCCCAAATTGGCATGACAGGAAGCGCAAGCGGTTATTTCCAAGACGTTTGATAATGGTTCACTCCAGATTGCATGGGAGACGGTGCTGCAGTGTATCGAAAGAGAGCTGGCATCACGGTGGCAACTACAGGGTGGCAACCGTATCAAGCATATCGGACATGGAGGACAAGTGGATTGGAAATGGACACATATCAAATGGGTACCGCCAAGGCGACGAACGTACGTCAGTTGGGGCGCGCACTGCTGGTCCATCGTTGCACGTTGGGCGGATCACCTTCGACGTGCGCAGCAGCATTTGGAGCAGTGTGCGCAACGATTGGTGGCGGCCAATGCGCTCTGTGAGGTTTCGGTACAGCAGTGTTCACATGTAGCGAAGATCTTGGCGGAGGCACACGCATTTTTGAAGAAGATCGGCACGCGTCGACGTATTCTACGGGCGGTCACTGCGCGGGCGCGATCCTTTTTCCTCATGGGCCTTGAGGTCTTCTCTCATCAGGATCTCCTCAGTACAATTGACTACATGCGGCTGGAAGCGGCGCGGCAGGATGCCCACGACACACGAAGCAAACAGAAGGCATGGAAGAAGTGGGTACGTGACGCTTTTCAGAACGGAGCGGGCATCGCGCACCGATGCGCGAAGTTGCCAGGGCCCGTGGATAAGATACCAGCCATTGTGTACGCGAGACCACATGGAGTGGCCGATCGAGAGCTTCACAAGTGGTCCAAAGTATGGCGGCATCACGAAGCACCAAGGTTACAATTGCCGCAGGAGGCAGGGCAGTGGGCAGCGCTGCCAGCGGTCACAGGGAAGCAGTTGCGCCCGGCAGCCTTTGCCTTTCCAGCCACCACTTCGGTGGGACAAACAGGGATTGCGCCACGGGCATTGGGGCAAGTTTCTGATATTGGGCTTGACACCGTCGCTGCCTTGTACATGCGCTGCGAGGCTTTGGGGTATTGGCCGACCCAACGTATACTTAATATCCTGGTGCGGTTGGGCAAACCAGATGGAGACAGCCGTCTAATATGCTTGGTCAACACGTTGGTCTGGCTAGGGTCACGATCGCGAGTAGCAGTTTCCAGAGAATGGATGGATCGAGCG